GGAATCATACAAGAAGCTGAGCTCAGCGATGTAGAATGGGTACATAGCCAATACGAACAACTAGCTCTCATTGATGGAAAGAGAATGAATGCGGTATGTCACGGTCAACTCTACCAGAACAGAATGGCAAGAGCTTTCAACAAAAAGGTCAGACCAAGGCAATTCACACCGGGGCAGTTGGTGCTAAAACGGATCTTCCCACATCAGGATGAAGCCAAGGGGAAGTTCTCAGCCAGTTAGCAGGGTCCCTACATGGTTCATCGAGTACTAATAGGAGGACCACTTATACTTGCAAAAATGGACGGAGTGATTTGGCCAAAACCTATCAACTCGAACGCAGTCAATAGATACTATGTTTCTGAGATTCTTTACATTTCTTCATTTGATGTAACTGAATTACGCTTGACCTGATTCCTGTTCAAGAGGGGATACGTAGGCAACCCTGTGGGTTCGGTCTTAATAAAATCTTCATTTTCCCATGATCAGAAACTGGGGCAAGATGGCAAGTTCAGCCAACTTCGTCATATATGGAACAACCAAAAAGTATTCTCAGAAGTATGCATTTAAACTGGGGCAGAATTTTGAGGAGGACCCTCAAAATTCTAAAGCAAGGAGGTTGCAATGTCTCTAAATGTATCACAGTCACCGGTTCATCTAAATTATTTGATATCACATACTGCAATACATTTCCAACAACTATATTTTTGCGAATAATTTGTTAAATGCATACATATTTTTTTGAAAAATTTGTTTCTCTGACAGCCATACGTTACCCAGGGTAACTCAAACAGGTTCTCAAGACAGGAGTAAATGCAAAGCAGGGAGTCAAGAGCACGAACCAACCATCCCCCACAAAACTCACAATTTTTCATTGAATGCGGGCACATGGAATATAACAAGGGTATTCGAAAATATATACACACAGCAAGTTACTATCTTCATAATGACAAGGGTGCCAAATGCAACACATCAAGCTAAGAAATACTTTACTCTCACATTTATTCTTTACATGAGACTAAGAACCGTCTCCATCTCTTGCATGAGGCTAAGCAATGCCTCCGTAATTACATAAGGCTAAGCATTGCCTTTCCTTGCATGAGACTAAGCACTGTCTCCATTTCCTGCACGAGGCTAAGCATTGCCTATCTTGTCGTGTGTGCTTCAAATGAAGTAATTTCCCTTACTAGCAACACACGCATAAATCTTCATTATCTCGCTGCATGCGCATCAATAACACCACTCTTATGCCGACGCATGCGCATCTCATCACAACACAATAATCATCTCGCACCACACGTGCCAATATGCCACAATATTGCCAAAATAATAATACCACTACCACAATGATATATAGCCCACAGCTCAACAACAATGTGTACAAGATTTCAACAATAACACAATGCATTGGAAGAATAACTCAACAATGAAAGATGTTCTAACAAATTTAATTCAATGCATATAAATAACCTAAGAGTCTAAACTTGTCAATTACCATAAATAAATCCTGTACACACACTCGTCACCTCATGTACACGTCTTTCACATAATTCAAATAATTCAATTAGACCAAATCCTACGGAGTAGTCCCCCCCCCCCCNTTAACCATACTAATGCATGCATTAATAGCCTTGGTATTACTAATGTCATGGTTTTCTATGCATTACTTATACATAGGATAATACCAAGTATGATGTATAACTAATACAAGTATTAGTTATACATATGTTGAAAATATGTACCAAACAAGGTATTAGTAATGCACAAAGCTAATGCTTGCATTATTTTTTCTAATACCTTCTACCAAACGACCCCTAAGCATTGTCTCCATCTCTTGCATGAGGCTAAACATTGCCTCTGTAATTGCATAAGGCTAAGCATTGCCTTCCGTTGTATGAGACTAAGCATTGTCTCCATCTTCCGCATGAGGTTAAGCATTGCCTCTGTAATCGCATAAGGTTAAGCATTGCCTTTCTTGCATGAGGATAAGCATGGCCTCCGTAATTGCGTGAGGCTAAGTACTGCCTTTTCTTTGCATAAGACTAAATACTATCTCCACTACACTACCTAAGACAAAGCACTATCCCCTTTATTCACCTCGGGCTAAGCACTGCCCTTATCTCACACAAGACTAAGCTTTGTCTTGTCTCGCCCTCGCATATGACCAAGCATCATATCTTTGCATTTCATAGGCTGAAACATCGCCACATTGTCCGAAGGCATCATAGTCCGAAGGCATCATCCTCATAGCCGGGAGATACCATTCCATGGCCTGAGGATCTCTCAAAATTGCACATCATTATTCAAAGGCGTCATAGTCCAGAGGATCCATCCTCATGGCCTGAGGACATCATTTCATGGCCTGCGAATCCCTTATCATACACTTCATCTTCCAGGACATCATGGTCTAAGGATATCATCCTCATCGTCCAAAGACAACCTTTATGGTCCAAAGGGAATTTGCATCATGTTTAAATTTTTGCAATAACCCATATATATATTCGCATGCATCGTGTTTTAAGTTTTACAGGTAATTTGGGAGGTAAAATTCTGCAAACAGGAGCAATCTTCGCTCCGGTTTCCATTCACAACGTTCACATCCTTCAATTGCTTCAAATGTAACCGATTACCAAAAATTGCCCACCTTTTATTCTATGTCCGTTCCGATATCTGCCTCGTGGTACATCCATAACGTTTCAAATTCGAATTCATGACTCCTCCTAAAATCATCTATTACTTGGGATAATATCCTGTCCAAAAGAATCTTTTCGAATCATATAATCATTCTTACAACAATTCCATCGATTTCGTTCGTCGTTGGATCCAGAACTACACACAACCCGATTCCTGTAACAGCAGGGATATGAGACAACTCTGGAACCAGGGTTCGGTCCCCATTTTTAAAGTCATATCATTCCACATTCAACTCGGCCAAAATTGGTCATCATTTTTCTTTACGCAACAACTCTTTCATCATTCCCTGGTAAAGAGGGGTAGCTATTGATACCCAATTTTGCCCTATTTTTCCAAACAGTTTATATATTTTTAAAATGTCATTTTTCATCATCACTTACTCTACAAGAATCATATGAGCATTTTCTATAATTTTTAGAGTTTTAAAATTAATTTTCTTGCATTTAAATTACTTGAATATTTACTAATTATTCCTTTAAATTATTTTTTTGTGATGACTTAATAATCCAAATTATTATTTGCATCCATATACATGTTTCAAATATTTTTACTTCATTTCATATGATTATATTAGTATTTTGGGCTATTTATACAATCTTGCAATAATGGCCTATATTTTGCAATTTATTGCATTTGTCATTTTATTCAAGGTCAAAATAATTTTCTACATATTTATAATCTTCTACTATTATTTTAATGTATTAATTTTCATAAATATCATTTTTATATTTTTATTTAATAATTTTTATTAAGTTATTTTTCCCTTAATCTCATATTTTAAAATTTGGCCCAAATTAGGCTAATTTTGGACCAATTAAGGTCCAAATGAACCAGACCACTCTGATCAACACCCAGAAGCCCAACCCCAAGTGACACAATAGGTCTGCCCCAGCCAAAACCTAACCCAGCTCGTTTTAAATCTCAGCAATTGATCAAAAGCGATCAACGGTTCACAACACCCCTACTCCCTTTCCTTATATCCTCCATAGCCTAACCCTAATCCCCATTTCCCTAAATACAACCGCCTCTATTCTCTCTGTTCCTCTCTTCTCCTTCACAAACCCTAGCCGCCACACCCTTTAATTCTCTCCGATTCGGACCCTGATATAGAATCCTCTTACGATTTGCCGTCCATATATGCTCCATCTCCGTGTTACTTATACGATTTTGGTATCACTTAGTACTTGCCTATTTTTGGAAAGTACCAGGACTGGAATCATGTGAAGACCGTCTTCAATCTTCAAGATCTAGACGGTATTCCGTCTATTTACATTCATGCAAGGCGATATGAAGTCGATTCACCAAAATCTTTGGTCGATTCTCTGATTTCTGTCGAACTAGGGTTTGAAATTTTATACTTTTCCTTTTACCCGTTCCATTACTGATTGCATGTGGTATTTTCTTCCCATCTTTATATTTGATTGATTATTTTCCTTCACTACTACAAAATCAGGTTTTAGCGACGGATAAATTCTGTAGCCAAACAGAAAAATCCATCGCTAATCTCATTTAGCGATGGATTAGCAATGGACTATCAAGAAATTTTGCTAGCTAGAAGCATTTTAGAGACAGAGTGGCGACGATGTTCGTAGCTAATTCTAGTTTTTTTTTGTAGTGCTTGTTTGCTTGTTCGATTCCTGCCACTATATAAACCCTTCCCCAATTCCCCTCTAGAGACCTAAGTTATCACTGCTATTACACTCAATACATCTCTCTCACCCGTTCATCTTCTCTGAAATACTTGACTCTTTTGCCGGGTGAAAGCCAAGGCCATAATATTTTCAACCTCCTCCGGTGCAAGCACTGCTCAGGGCTCTTACGAGGCTCTTGTGAACTCTGAAGCATCAGAGATCTGGGGTTCTTGCTACCAGTATTCTAAGCTCTTTATTATTCTTTTACTCGTCTAATTTTGCTATTGGTTAGTGCTTTTGACCCTTGCAATGTTAAATATTTTTTCTTTTTTTTTTGGTAATTATCATATTTTATTACCAAGAAGGAAAATACAGCTCAAAAACAAACACTAATTCTGGACATCTTCCAAGAATTAGTTTCTCCTATACTTCTATTTCTACCTACTAACTATGAATTAACAAAAAAATGCATTAGGCGTAGAAATTTAATTATTCTAATCTTCTTCTTAATCTTGACAACATATAACCCCTTCCACAAACCATTTGTATAATCTACTTCATTAGTGCTCCTGCTGGCCTCAGTTGAGCTCGGAAGATTCTATGATTTCTCTCCTGCCATACATAATAGACAGATCTTGCTAATACTATTCTATAGATTTCTGCATTTGCTGATCTTCCTCAAACGTTGTTGCATGTCAATTCTATTTCTTGACTCCATTCCATCGGTTGTCTATTAACATTCATCCACTGTAGTAGTTTCTCCCAAATTGCTGCTGTATATGTACACTTGAAAAATAAGTTTTCCATGCTTTCCTCCTCTACATTGCACATAGGGCATAACAGCTCATTTGCTATTCCCCATCTTACTAATCTATCTCTTGTAGCCAACTTGCCCAGTATAGCCACATACAGAATAAAGATCAACTTTGGCATACCTCCATTGTTACATACCAGCTTCCTCCAAGGCATCTTCTGGTGATCCTGCTTTAGCTTCTTGTATATATAGTTAATGTTTATGTGATTCTTGTCAAGTATCTCATCCAAGTTAACCCCAGCATCTATCATGTATTGTTTAGCCTTCAAGATCTTCTATACCAACCATGAAGCTTGCTTAGCTTCTATGTGTTTTACAGGTCTTCCTTTCCCATAATAAGTATGAATCCATACCACCCAGAGTTTATCCTTTTTTTTTGAGCTAAGTTCCATAGTAGCTTATATATTGCAACTTTATTCCACAATTCAACATCTAGCAGATTCCAACCCCCACTTGCTTTTGGTTGACATAGTTTATCCCATGCCACTAGAGCTTTTTTTGTCACCTCAACTCCCCCAGACCATAAGAATTTCCTACATATAGCTTCTATGAGATGGATTACCTTCTTTGGGAGTACAAATATTTGAGACCTATATATTTTGATAGATAGCAGCACACTTTTGATTAACTGTATTCTGCCAGCATATAAGAGAAATTTGGCAGTCCAAGATGTTATTCTATCAAGCATCCTGTCTAGTAATGGTTGAAATTGAATAACTGACATCCTTTTTGTGCTCAATGGGACTCCTAGATACCTTATAGGCAACTCTCCTTTTGAAAACCCTAGTTCATCCATGACATTTTGCTGCACTATTGGATTTACACCACCAAAATATATGGAACTCTTACTCTTATTTGCAGTTAGACATGACACCTTTGAGAATTCCATGAAGCAGTTATATAACATATGGATAGAAACTTCATCACCCCTACAGAATAACGGTAGATCATCAGCAAATCCCAACTGAATAATTTGAAACCTTTCACATCTTGGATGGTAGTTAAAATCTGGCTGATTCTTCAGAGTTCTGAGTAATCTGCTGAGATAGTCCATTGCTAGAACAAACAAGTAAGGATACAATGGATCCCCTTGTCTGAGACCTTTCCTAGCTGGAAAAGGACAAGTAGGACTACCATTAATCAAAATAGAATATGAGACTGTAGAGAGACAATTCATGATCCATTCCACAAATCAGGCAGGGAAGTTCATTGCTATCAATATCTGCTTTAAGAAACCCCATTCCAATGAATCATAGGCATTTTGCATATCTAGTTTGATCATGCACCTTAGAGTAATACCCTTCCTTCCATAGCCCTTCACTAATTCATGACTTAGGATGATGTTATCCGAGATAACTCTGCCCGGTACAAAAGCAGGATATTATCTTGTATAGGACAGTACAACAGGATATAGGCCTATACTCCTTGATTGAACTTGGATTTTTAACTCTTGGGATCAATGTCACAACGGTGCAATTTATGGGCTTATAGATCTCACTAGAGTCAAAGAACTGTTTTGTTGCTTTGATTATTTCATCTCCTACAATTGGCCATGCTTTCTTAAAGAAACAAGCATTAAAACCATCACAGCCTGGGCTTTATTATCATCTATGTTTTGCACAACATTACATATCTCCTCTATGGTGATTCGTTCTATTAACTTCAGTTGTTGTTCTCTTGTCAATATTGCTCCATTCTTCACTATTGTTGGATTAATCACTGGCATTTGTTCTGCTGCATCCCCTAGTAATTTCTTGTATAACCCCACTATTTCCTGCTGCACCTCTTGATCATTATGTAATAACTTACCATCCTGAGCTACAAGAGATTTGATATGATTCATAGAAGTCCTATTTTTCAGACATGCATAAAAGTAGGCACTATTTGAGTCCCCCAGTTTCAACTATTTTGATCTTGACTTCTGCCTCATTATGCTCTCCTTTATCATTGCCCATTTCTCCAGTTTGCCTCTTAGTTCCTTCTCTATATCAGCCAAAGCTGTTTGATGACTTGGATCATGCATTTGTTCTTGTGTCTCCTGAAGCTGTCTCCTTATTAATTGAACTGTCTCTCTAACCTTTTTGAACTCCCGTATGTACATCTTCTCCATTTCCTGCTTTACTGCTTTAAGTTTCTGCCACACTCCTTCCATTCCTTGCCCATTTGTAGCTGTATTCCATGCTTGTTCCACCACTGTTAGGAACTCTGGCAGCTCAGCAACATAGTTATAAAATCTATATGGCTTAGGACCCTCCTTTCCTGCTTCCTCCAGATGAAGGCACAAGGGTGTGTGATCAGATATAAATGGTTCCATCACAATTACTTCCAATTGCTTCGTTGTTGTCATCCATTCTGCATTGACAATGGCTCTATCAATTTTACTCCACACATGATTATTTGTCCATGTGAACTTCCTCCCTATATATTTTAGTTCATTCATGTCACTATTAAGCATGAACTCCCTAAAATCCCTTATTTCTACTTCTTGCACTGGGTTATCACTTTTCCTATCTTCAATGTAACGACCCGGCCAGTCGTTTTTAGAATTTACTCCCCGATCCCCTATTAACTGCTTTCCCCGTGTTTATTTCTGCTATTTTGAATTGCCGGGATGTTCGGTTTTGAGTTGCGGAGAGTTTTGGGACACTTAGTCCCTAAATGAGAGCTTAAGTATTGGAAATTTGGCTATAGTCGAAACAGTGTGAAGACGGCATCGGAATGGGATTCCGATGGTTCCGTTAGCTCCGTTGGGTGATTTCAGGCTTAGGGGCGTGATCGGATTGTGTTTTGGAGGTCCGTAGCTAAATTAGGCTTGAAATGCCGAAAGATAGAATTCTGAAGTTTCCGGTTCGATAGTGAGATTTCGATCCGAGGGTGGGAATGGAATTCCGGGAGTTGGAGTAGCTCCATAGTGTTGAATGTGATGTGTGTGCAAAATTTCAGGTCATTCGGACAAGGTTTGATAGACTTTTTGATTGAAAGCGTATTTTTAGAAATTTGGAGTTCTTAGGCTCGAATCCATGGTTAATTTGAGGTTTCGATGTTGTTTTAGGTGTTATAAGGATTGGTACAAGTTTGGACAATGGTATTAGACTTGTTGGTGCCTTTGGTTGAGGACCCGGGGGGCCTCGGGATGATTTTGGATGGTTGACAGGAGGTTTAGGAATGGTTTGGAGCAGCTGAAGCTGCTGATATCTGTCATAACCGCACCTGCGGTTTGGGTTCCGCAGGTGCGGCGCCACAGAAGCGGCTTAGTGATCGCAGAAGCGGGAAAAGGGGAAGTTAGCAGGAACCGCAGAAGCGGTGGAATTTTCGCAGGAGCGGTACCGCATCTGCGGAAGGGGAGTCGCAGATGCGGAATCTGGGCCTTTAGTGAAAAGTCGCAGATGCGACCTTTGTTCCGCAAATGCGGGACCGCAAAAGCGGTCCCAAGGCCGCAGATGCGGAAGCAGCTGGGCAGAAATGTTTTAAAAAGAGGTTCCGCCACTTAGGGGTTTATTTCCACCATTTTTAATCGTTTTTGGAGCTCGTTGAAGGGGATTGAAGAGGGATTCAAGGGGAATCACTTGGAGGTAAGATTCTTGGTCTTAAAACTCATTTCTAATGTGAAATCTACCTAGTAAATCATGGAATCTAGGCCTAAAATTGAAGAAATTAGGGCTTGAGATTAAGAGACTTTAAAATGAGAATTTGAGGGGTCATTTGGACTCCGATTTCAGTGTCCTTGGTATGTATGGACTCGTGAGAGTGTGAGGATTCTAGACATATAAATATTACCCGATTCTGAGACGTGGGCCCGAGGAGCATTTTGGTCATTTTACCTAATTTCGCGTATTAGCTTAGAATTTCTTTATATAATCAGTTACTTGAAGTGTTATTTACATTATGCAATTGAATTGAATAGATTTGGGCCATTTGGAGTCGAGTACTCGTGGCAAGAACGTGGTCTCGGGTTGATAATTGAGCTGGTTCGAGGTAAGTGGCTTGTTTAACCTTGTGTGGGGGACTCTCCCTTTAGGATTGATATCGTGATAATTGAAATGCCTTGTACGTGAGGTGACGAGTGCCTACTTGTACTAATTGTTGGAAATCCGGATTTTTCATTAAAAAATAGCCTTAGATTGTGTTCTTCCTTTTCTTGCTTAGACTATTTGGAAATTTAGCCTGCTGTTAGTCTAGAGAAGCATGTCTAATTGACTAAATTGCTCTATTTGTTTTAACTGCCTTATTTTTACTACGTGAAGCATGCTAGGTTAGAATTATCTGTTTTGCCTTGGTATGAAGTTGAGCTTAATTGAGTATGTCCTCTTTTTGCTATTGTTGTGTGTTTCATTTTGGGGCTACGGGAAGGCATCCCGAGAGGTCCCCTGTACGTATTTATGATCGAGCTGAGGTGCGGGATACCGAGAGATCCCCGATACGTATATTGAGGATACTAAGAGATCCTCGGGATACCAAGAGATCCCTAATATATATTGAGGATACGAAGAGATCCTCGGGATACTAAGAGATCCATGGCATATATTGAGGATACCAAGAGATCCTCGGTATACCAAGAGATCCCTGGTATATATTGAGGATACTAAGAGATCCTCGGGATACTGAGAGATCCCCGGTTATTATCCTTGTGTTTGTTTTACCTCTGTATCAGTTGTAGTTATCTTATATCCTGTGATATTTTTACTGTTGCACTTATTTATACTGCTCTTATCTACATTGTCGAACTTTATATTATTATTTAATCTCAGTAGGGCCCTGACCTTCCTCGTCACTACCCGACCGAGGTTAGGCTTGGCACTTACTGAATACCGATGTGGTGTACTCATGCCCTTCCTGCGCATGTTTTTCATGTGCAGATCCAGGTACCTCTATTCAGACTTACCATCCTTGAGGCGAGGCGATTTTACGGAGACTTCGAGGTATATCTGCCGCGTCCGCAGACCAAGGAATCTCTCTCCATTCTCTCTTATAGTGATTAGCCCTTCTATATTTACTATTGATGTAGACTTTCTGGAGTTAGAGCATTTTACTATATTCGTAGCTTGTGGTTCATGGGTTTCCGGGTTTAGGGAATATCTATTAGTTTTTGAGAGTTAACGTTATGTTTGCCGAGCGACACTCTTAAACGTTGTTTATTTACTCTATCTCTGCTTTAACTTGTCTTTTTCTTTCCGCAAATTTGGTTTATTTTTCCGCATTTTAGGCTTACCTAGTCGTAAGGACTAGGTGTCGTCACGATGGTTCACAAAGGGCGAACCGGGGTGGTGACAAGGTTGTATCAGAGCTCTAGGTTCATAGGAGTCATGAATCACAAGTTGGTTTATTAGAGTCTCACTGATCGGTACGGAGACGTCTGTACTTATCTACGAGAGGCTATGTAACTGTTAGACACATTCCACTTTGTTTGATTTCCTTGTTGTGAGAGATTTTTGATATCACAATTCTAAACTTTTGTCTTCTATTCTCTCACAGATGGTGAGGACACGTGCTACCCGAGATGATCAGGCAGCCGTGCCCCCTACTGGAGTCGTCAGAGGCTGGGGCTGGGGTAGAGACCAAGGACGCGCTCGTAGTGCAGCCAGAGCACCCGCGCGAGCTGCCGCCGAGGTACCACCAGCAGTACCAGCCGGAGTCCTGACACCCGACATGTCTGCTACTACTACTCCAGCACTCCAGGAGACTATGACACAATTTATGACTATGTACACCACTCTAGCTCATGCAGGGTTGCTTCCCCTTGCTGCAGCTACATCCCAGGCCGGGGGAGGAGCACAGACTCCCGCCGCCCGCACTCCTGAGCAGCGAGTGTATATTGATCAGGTCCTAGAGGCTATTCCTGTACAGCAGGTAGCCCCAGCTCAGCCTGAGGAGAGGGCAGTAGCTTCAGAAGAGGAGCTGAAGAGGCTTGAGAGGTTCAAGAAGTATCAGCCTCCAACTTTTAGCGGACTAGCCTCAGAGGATGCCCTTGGATTTCTTGAGGAGTGCTACCGTATCCTTAGTACTATGGGCATATCAGGATCAAGCGGGGTTTCCTTCACTACCTTCCAGCTTCGGGGAGACGCCTATCAGTGGTGTCGTGCTTATGAGTTAGACAGTCCGGATGAGGCAACTTCCCTGACTTGGGCTCAGTTTTTAGATATGTTCACGAGGGAGTATGTCCCCTAGAGTCTTAGGGACGCCTGGCGCGCGGAGTTTGAGCATTTGCGCCAGGGTACTATGACTGTCTCGGAGTATGCTGTTCGTTACACCGATTTGGTTAGACATGCACCAGCTTTAGTCTCTACGGTTCGCGAGAAGGTTCGCCGGTTTATTGAGGGACTTATTCCCAGCATCAGGTCTAGCATGGCTCGTGAGTTAGAGATGTATATATCTTACCAGCAGGTGGTGAGCATTGCTAGGAGGATTGAGGGTATTCATGCTAGGAATAGAGAGGAGAGGGAGGCCAAGAGGTCTCGAGAGTCGGGCCATTATTCTGGTGCCCGTTCCCCAACTGCAGGTCGTCATGGTAGGGGTCATTTGAGTTGTCCCGTTCATTCAGCTCTTCCAGCTGCCAGTGGTATTCCAGCTCCACCTAGGCCTCCAGAGCCTTATTATGCACCTCCAGTATCTAGTGCGCCTCCTGCACGGGGTGTTTCCAGTGGTTAGTCCAGCAGACCTGGCCCAAGCTAGTCACAGCTGCCACGTCCTCCCAGAGCTTATTTTGAGTGTGGTGACACCCGTCATGTGGTGAGGGATTGCCCTAGACTTGGGAGGGCTGCACCTCCACAGACTCCTCAGCCACAACGGGCCCCGCAGAGTTCTCAAGCTATGATCACTGCACCAGTTGCTACTCCACCTGCCCAG